AAGCAATTGAAGCATTAAAAGTTACATATTTCAATTGGTCTTAGATAACGCACTGGCGCCGTCGTCAACCTATAACACGGCGCCGGGCCCGCAGGCTGACGGCATCCATTACCCAAAGGGACAAACGCACAACTCCACGTCAGGCATCGGAGTGGCTTGGCACATGCACGGCATGGCTTCATAAGGGCCGGCCGAATGCTCCACGGCTCCCGGGTTCAGGCCTGCGATAGCTGGCTCGGATTTTGGTTCTCAGCTGGTCGTTCTCGTTGGTCGAGAATTGTTAGCACGTACACCGCAAGATCGCGCCTTACCCACCACGCGGCCCGCTAGATAGCAGGATTGATATAGATAAGCTGCAAGAAGCCGCATAGTTCCAGGACTATCATGATAGTCGAGGGATTTGGGGGTTCATGGCGTGACTGTTACTGCAATGTAATAGACCTATTTTCTGTTAGTTTGTTCTTATCTCTTCTTTCAGTGGTTGCATGAGTCATGCATGAACAGCGCAAACTATGATGTCTGTGGATTTTGATAACTGGTGTATAGTATAGGTTCGTGGCTTTTAGTTGGTGAAGAATTCTTAATCTGACTTAATATATATCCGAGAGCAGTCCAGCGATCTGTATATGTGTGGCAGTGGTATATATGCTGTGCCTATAAGCTAGACCACCCAGAAATAGTCCAAATGGCCCCTTGACCTTTGTAGAGCCGTTGTACAACATGGCAGAAACGTTAACTCCCACGACTCTGACGTCGATATTCCATCCTTCAGCCCAAAATAATGAGTCGACCGCGTTGCTACCGAAGCCAACGGGCGGACATCGAGACGGATTCGGTTCTATATATCGACAATGGCTCGGAGAAATCTGGACATTGACAAAAGCCGCAATACCTGTGATATTGGCATATACACTCCAGAATAGCCTTCAGACCGCATCCGTACTCATCGTTGGGCGACTTTCGCCAGAAGCCCTGGCCACAGCCGCCTTTTCGTACATGTTCGCAATGGCAACAGCATGGCTGGTTGCACTAGGCGGTACCACAGCGCTCGATACGCTTGCATCAAGCAGCTTCACCGGGTCGCAAGATCGGCACGACCTGGGGATTCTTTTGCAACGGGGCATTTTCGTACTCACTCTTCTGTATGCCGTTATCGCGGTGATATGGAGCTTCTCAGAACCGTTGTTTCGAGCACTTGGCCAGGAGGAGTTCATCTGTGTACAGAGCTCCAGATTCCTTCAGATCCTCATCCCAGGCGGACTAGGATATGTCTGGTTCGAGGCGATGAAGAAATATCTCCAGGCACAGGAGATTTACCAACCAGGAACCTATGTCCTCCTCATCACGTCCCCACTCAACGTACTTCTGAACTGGCTATTTGTTCACCAATTCGAGATCGGACTCTACGGGGCACCCATCGCCACCGGCATCAGCTATTGGGTGTCTTTCCTTCTCCTCGTTGCCTATGCGGTGTTCGTCCGTGGCCATGAGTGTTGGGGCGGACTTGATCCAAAACGCGCAATATCCCACCTATGGCCATTCACTCGTTTAGCGCTGCTGGGTGTTATCCACGTTGGGACTGAATGGTGGGCTTTTGAGATCGTGGCGCTGGTAGCTGGACAGCTAGGCACAATTCCACTCGCTGCACAATCGGTCATCATGACGGCGGACCAGATCATCAACACGATCCCATTCGGACTTGGGGTGGCCACCTCATCCCGGATCGGCAACCTCCTAGGCGCACAGAGGCCGCAGGAGGCAGCTCGCGCGGCTCACTGTGCTGCGGTGCTCTCGGTACTGACTGGCAGCATCATCCTCGCTATTCTTATGGGCACGAAGGATGTGTTCGGCAAGGTATTCAACGATGATGAGCGCGTTGTCAGACTAGTAGGAGAAGTGATGCCGTATGTGGCACTGTTTCAGATCGCAGACGGCTTGAATGGCAGCTGCGGTGGTGTTTTGAGAGGCATGGGCAAACAGTGGGTTGGGGCTCTCGTCAACCTAATCAGCTACTACGGCGGTGCATTGCCGATGGGCATATATCTCGCCTTTCATGGTTGGGGGCTGGCGGGTCTGTGGTTTGGCAATTGTGTAGCCCTATACATCGTTGGGGCTTTGGAATGGGTAATCGTGGGGTTGAGTAAGTGGGATAGAGAAGCTGGAAAGGCCATAGAAAGACTACAGGCTGGGGGAATCGGGAGGCCTGAAGTTGATACAGAAGAATATGTAGGGGACAGCCCTCTATGATCTATATGTAAGTGTTGTGTATAGGAAATGGCTGTGATACTGTGCCCACCTAGGCTATCTACTTACATAGAGAGAGGGGTGGAGTAACGAGGCCTTCCTCTGTGAGTGGACCTTCGATACTCAATGTCTACCTATTATACATCTATCTAATCATAATCGACTTTGAAGACTATCATATATTTTCTAACACATCACCTATTCAACGGCGCCAATACTAATGCGTAGGTAGTATTGATATCGTTTCGAGAGTTCAGGCGTAGTAAACATTGCATAGTAAATCGAGTAGCCCGCTGTTTCACCATGGCTATTGTTTAAGCTATAATGCCTGCCTCGAGGACCCTTGAGGCCCACGATCCACTGATATTCGATCGTTAGCTTTTAGGGCGACTTGGAAGACATGGATTATGCTTGACATAGATCTTATATTGTTTCAATGGCCCACCCTTCAATGTGCAGTACTTTATTGTAATACACCATGACATTGTATGTATGTAGGTTGCTACTTGAGATTGAATATACATACCTAGATAGGTAGTACCTATGCGAATAGTATACCTAGCTTACACAACTTTTTCTTTTTCTGATCATCATACCATGGCTTGCATCTCCATCAGCCCTAGGAGCGCAAGCTATCGAATCTCATTGACCCCGAGTTATCTACGGGTAGTACCGCCCTATCTACGCCGCTAATGCGTGCCATAGCAACGATCCTCTTGATCATTGGTCGTTTTCGGGATCCACTCTGTGTCCCTAGCAACCCCTCCTCCTCGAAGAACTACGCTATGCCTAAAGTGGCATATGACCTCATCCTTCGAGTCCCTACCCTGCGCCTGCCAGAGGTTGACTCGAGGCACTTGCCGGACACACAAAGATGGCTTCCATCGCCCGGATCCGACAGAACCTAAACCGGAGACCAACCCATCTACACGACGTATTTGCACGGTCAATAGTCAAGACGTGTTATTCTTCCCCTGTATTGCATCGCATTGCCACAACAGATCACGATACCCCCCATTATCCCAGTGCTTACTTACCTACCTACCTTACTTCCCTATCCGCGTTGTCGCATGAATTGGAGCTGAGGCGTTTCTGCAGCTGCCGTGACCCTGGTCCTTGAACCATCCTTGAACCACGGCCGCTCATAACACGGAAAATAATCAACAGAAGAAGCCCACTTGGCAACGGCTCAACACTTTATTCTAATTCTGATACCCCTCTCGATCTCGACTTATACGGCTGTCTCTAACCTATCGACTCCTGTCCATCATTCCTCTTGCCTATTGCTACGATCGAGATCACACCCCAACCAACTTTATCTTCTTAGACGTAGGTAGCCCGGCGATAACAATACCTACCTCGACGACTGAACTAGTGAACATCTTCATTGGGCAGAATCTATCACCATGAGGACCCTGGTCAACTCAATTCTGCGCATAGCGCAATTCTTCCTCGTCCTCATCGCAACCGCTCTCCTCGGCAATGTCCGCGCAACGACACAGCACGCCGCCGCATCTGCCACAGCCGCCATCAACTTCGCCATCTTCGTGTGCGCCCTGTCATGGATCGCCATCATCTACAATCTTCTCGCACAATTCATCGACGCCGTGGCCATACCCGTAATCGCCCTTGCTTTAGACGGGTTCACCACGCTCTTCACCTTCATCGGCGCGGTCGTTCTGTCGGCGAAGCTGACTACCGTCAACTGCGCACACTGGGTGAGTACTCATCGAGCGATCCTCACCACGTGCTTGATCTATGACTGATACATATTGTGTACTCTCAGGGTACAAGACCATCCGACTGGATTGCCTTTGGTTCTGGAGACACGCAGAAGCGCTGCCGCGAAGTTCAAGCCGGCCTCGTCTTCATGTGGTTCCTGTTCGCCACTTTCACTGCTACCTTATTGCTTGCATTTAGGGAGTTCCGGCGGAGTGGCGGGTCTGTCCGTGGCCCCAGCATGTCGCAGATCGGCGTATAGTTTCGTGACGATCACGCGGACTATGCACATAAAGATGACGAGTCCGGGCAAACGTGGGACTGGGACTTACGATATCCATGAAGGTGACGGTTGGTTTCTCGGCTGTAATACGCCAGTTTGGCATTCTTGTACTGTGTAGGATAAAGGTTTTAATAGGACTGAGCCAGGCTGCTCTGTTATGTTTTCCCGGAGCGATGGACTGGCAAAAGCAGAATGTTGCTTTGCAAGTATTTGTGTAAAATGGACGGGATGAAGGTAGTGATGGGATGAGACCGGGGTTTCGAACACGAAGCGGTGGTACCAAGCAACAATGTCCAGTTATTCTAGGTCTGAAGACGAAGCCATGCCGAGAGGCCGGGTATTAGGTTTATTTTGCTCGCCCGACTCGATCATGTAGAGATATAATAAACCTACAATACACAAGAGACGCCCCTTTTGCAATAAATGGTATTATTGAATGTTAACCAGCAAAGATATAGTCGCGTTCTGGGGTCTTCCAAAACACAACACTTGATACCTCTTTCCTTCCTTTCGCGAAGTTAGCTGAAATACCGGTATCAGCCTGGGCACTTATAGTGACCAACCTAGTCAGAGAACCCTTTCGTGCGCAGTTTTCAAGTTAACTAGATTGATTTATAGACCAAAGTCCGACATGAAGATCTGGGATACCAAAGATGTATCTCCACGATTCAACATGTTACTGAGGGACACATTTTTGTTACCCACCGTGAATATTTATCTAGTATGAATTTTGTTCAACAGTTCCTATATACCTGGCAAGATGGCCGAGCGGTTAAGGCGGTAGACTCAAGCGTATTAGCTTTGCTTGTGTTACAACAAGTAGTATTCTACTGGGGCAACCCGCGTGGGTTCGAATCCCACTCTTGTCAAGCTTTTTGCTCTCCCTCATAAAAGATGGACCTTGGTTCGCACCAATTATTTCTTTTGGCCAAATTACCAAATTTGTTTTATATCAACAACCATTTATTTGTACAGTATATTTACGTTTATATGGACAGATTAATACGTGTTGCGAGGTCCATGTAATGATTATAAGTTAGTATGAACGGGTAAGTAACTCCTTAGACCTTACTTAGTCTTCCAATAGTGTATAGTGAGCATGTTAAAGATTAGCAGCTAGGCAGGCTAGTATTGAGAGCGGCGAAATCCCCCATCTATAGAGCTTGCGTGGGAGCATAACCGTTGTATTTGTACCTTGAGACCAGAAAACGTGGCCTTGCTTTGATACTAGGCCAGGGGAGATTGGCAAAGGCCTTGTTGCGGCGACGACAGGTCGTGACATAGCCACCATGAAAGTTTCGTTACTAATTAATTTGCACATCGCATCTATTTTGTTATTCAATATCTTAATATATTCAATTTTTTTTTTGGTTGTCTAGCGTATAGGAAGAGTGGTCGCCCCCGCCTTTCTACTCTCCTTGATGAAGTCCGCAGCCCTCTCGGCGACGGCGTACACCGTCGTCTGGATATTGCCGAGCGGCTCCAGGGGGATCATACTGGCGTCGACGACGCGGATATTGGCGGTGCCGTGCACGATGAGGCGCTCGTCGACGACACCGCCCAGCTCCCTGGGCAGCATGCGGCAGGTGCCGGCGATGTGGAAGCAGGAGACGGTGCGGGCGCGGACGATGTCCTTGGCGACCTCGAGGTCGTCGCCGGTAGCGTCGGGCAGGCGCTTGAGGGCCGGGTCGATCATGTCCCTGTAAGGGGCCGTGGTGACGATCTTCTCGACGAAGCCGACGGTGCGGGCCAGGATCTCGAGGTCGAGAGGGTGCGTGCAGTAGTTGGGGTTCCAGGTCGGGGGCACGGAGACGTCGGCCGAGGCGATGTGCACGTTGCCGCGCGAGAAGGGGTGGTTGAGCAGCGAGAGGATGCCGATGCAGTCGTACGGCGCGTGCGACGTGAACATGTCCGTCAGCGTGTCCGGGTGCGGCGTCACCGTCAACGACCCCGGGAAGCACAGGTACTGGATCGCGGGCTCGTGCTCGGTCTCGAGGAGGGAGCGGATGAGCTTGAACTCGCGCTTCTGCACGGGGCTTAGCCCCGGCGTGCTGGAGAGGTATTTGTCGAAGAGGGCCGCGCGGTCAGCCTGCGTCATGACGCCGTTGCGGTCTGCTAGTGGCACGTAGGCTACGCTGGTGCCCATGCCGGCGAGAGGGCCCTGCTTCGTCGAGGCGTACTGCTCGAAGGCGCTTTGGAACTTGGCGGGGTCGCGGAGCCCGTCTGCGGATGGGTATTCCTTCTTCACGGGGAACTGCTGCGATGTCATGAGATGATCCTGCATGTGCTCGCCGACGTTGGGGTTGTCGACCAGGACATCGATGCCGAGGCTTTCGAGCAGGTCCCGGTCGCCGATGCCTGATATCTCGAGTAGTTGTGGTGTCCTGATGGTTCCCGCGGCTAGAACCACCTCCTTGTTGGCCTTGATGGTGCTGACTTTGCCGTCCTTGTCCTTCACCTCTACGCCCGTTGCGACGACCACACCGGTCCGGGTCTCTGTCGTGATTTTCTGCACGGTTGTTTCCATCAACACTGTGAAGTTCGGCCGTTTGGCAATTTCCTCTGTATAGTATGCCGTGACCGAGGAACTGCGAGTATTTGTGCCCTTCTCGATAGTTGACGAGTTCTGGAATGCGCCAATGGCCTTGCCGGTTCTAGGATCCGTCTTCATCTCCAGCCCTAGTTCGGCAAATGTCTTGAACCATTTCTCATTCATGACAGAGTACTGGTCGTCGAAGGAGAGCTGGATGGGGCCATCGCCCGTCAGGTCTTCCCGGTAGTAACCCAGACCTCCTAGAGTCTCCCGAATTGCCTGGCTCGGGGGATGTGATGTGGAAAACTTCTGGAAGTAAGGCGCGAGATCGTCGAAAGTCCATCCTTTGTTACCCATCTTACTCCACGTATCTAGGTTCGTCCGCGAGGGAAACATGGCCATCATGAAATTGGTCAATGAACTGCCACCCAGGACCTTGCCGGTGTCCTGCCGAAGATGGCGGCCATTCAACTCGGCCTGGCCATGAACATGTCAGTAATCCTGACCGCATAGCTGGTGATCATTGGTAGTGAAGAATTCCATACTTGCGCTGTTGACCGGAATGGCCAGATGAAGCGATCGTCAGCGTACGCGCCCGCGACAAGACCCGGGGTTTCTAGAGAAGGATCCTTTCTCTTGTCGGCTCCGGCCTCAATGACCAGAACGCGCACATCGGCATCTTCAGTGAGGCGGGCTCCCACCACAAGGCCCGACGTACCGCCACCAACAACGATGTAGTCATACGATTCACTCATTTTTGCTACCGATACGTTTTGATGATAGTCATTGACTCTAATCCAGAATATTCATTATGATAACAAGAAGAAAAAGATTGGAAACGCCTAGGTAGTGGATATAAATCTACGACTCAAACATGACGGACACGCATTTCACTAGTAAAGTAAGCTTACATGATGCCGGCAAGGGATTGGGCGCCGCATTTCTTCAATGCGGCAGCTCTAATCACTAATAGTGGATGGTGTAGCTTACTGCGCCTACCTTCACAACATCCGATGTTACCTCACCACACATACTGGGATAGGTGAATGCAGATCCATACCGCTGGGCGACCTTCACATGGCCTTAATAATACAGTTTTGTCTCCTTGCCTTCCTAATTCTGAAGATCTTCAGGGTCTCGCGAATGGGGAGCCAGCAATGCCGAGTGCAGTGTAACATGTGCGATGCTGACGCTTAGCTATATACATAAACAGCTACCTACAGGCTTACATGGGAGTTCTGAGAACTATATGGAGGGGCATTTAGTTCCAGTATGAGGGGTAAAACACCGTTCGATCTGTCCCGTAGTGGGCTGAGTTATGACAGATAAGTACCGCGTGTGCCTGACTTTCGGACTGTTCGGCCCGAGCGTAAGGAATCTAGTCGTCATCCAAAGGTAAAAAAGGGGAAAGGAAATGGTCAGATTAGTTTATGGATGATTACTTCTCAAAATATCGCCAGTTTGCAATTCATGATCGACTTCACCGTCTTTGTATGCGGTGGTTCTGATAACAAAGCACGATCAACTTACCACAGTGCTATCTAACCTAAGTCTTTAGAAGCGATGAACAGGTAACCTGCGGTATTCCCACAAGTTCCGGGCGCCTCCGCTCCGACTCGTCGTCGCATTCCACCGTCTCTTAGTCCATCGCACCGTGGATAATGCCGATCTCGAAATTCAATGTCCTTTTGATAATGCACGAGTGCGCCAACTACATACGGTTCTAGCGGGAATCGTCGAGATGCATATAGGACTTGGTCTGTTGACATGGGATGGCCCTGCGGCACAACCACTGCCCAAGGAAATTCATTAATTCCCTGCATCAGTACTTCGTACGGATTAGTGTCAACGCAATGCCCCAGGGTCCTTCATGCTCTCATCGGCATCCACGCGAACCTTTGGACTACAAGATCCCTACAAAACAGGATGGCGGCCACTGTCTACTTGACGCAATGAGTTAGCAGCCAGAGCGCCATGCATGATTCGATCGTGGTCTAGACCCAGGTATATTCCAGGTACTACAATGGTTTCGTCTTATAAAGAAAAGCTATTAGTTTAACTGGGAGAAATTGGACGTCGACCGCAAATTCTTGGCCCAACGCGTTATTGAAACGGCTATGTTAGTGGGGAGAATAATTAAGTTCGGCATATAGAAATACCGACCGGCTGAAGGCTCTATATATAATCTGGGCTTCGTGAGTAAGTAGATCCTATTGCCTGGCTATACGCCTGTTTACGACCTCTGGTTCATGTATAGAAATGGAAATAGAGACCTGTAACAAGGGTTTGAGTTAAGGGCCTGGAAAGATATTCGAATTGCAATAATCCTCTAACCTTAGGGACTCAAGGGGCCTGGTTGATCTTCCTCTTCTGGGTGGGAGATATCCAGTCTATATATCCGAATAGCTTCACGTATAGTCACCGCTTCTCGCGTACTCCTGCTCTCGTACGTAGGGTCTCGGTTAGGACACAAACTATACAAGTAGATCACGAACTACTCGTGCAGACGGGTAGTCACATTCGTATGATAATATACATGATAAGCAAGATCCCGATTCCTAGATTCGCGATCCAGTCCTTCGGTACGTGTGACAAGACCAGATGCTACGAGTATAATATTTATAGAAGAAACTTGAGACATATACTTGGATTTCGTAGGGATTGGTCAGTCCATATATTTAATCGATATGTTGAACCAATATAAAGTGCCATGAATAAGAAGACTAAGTTGTTCAGGTTAATTTGAGGCTGTAGTGGTGAGGACACGAGGTGCTTGAATCAGATGCTACAAGCTGATCTGTCTTTTCGTTTCTGCGCATTAACCGGGATATATTCAACTTAGTTGGACGATCATTCCTTTTAGTAATTACCCATTTGATACCAACAAATCATTCAAGTTATGTTTATATATAGTATATGACTCCTTCGTCTTTTGAATGCGTCTTGTGACACGAACATGGTGACACAGGTACTTGGCTAGCTCCCTGACGAGAGGTCCGGATTTAAGGGCAGTGGAAGCTCGGCGTTAGCAAAGTTCACAGGTCCTTTGGCGGCTGAGAATGAGCCCGCAGTCCGTCGGCCCCTGCTGACACTGTCCCGCCCGCAGTTGCATCACCGTGCAGGCCGATGCTAGCTGGCGAGCTTTCCAAATTTTGGTGCAGAATTCTCATCCGGCAGTCTCAGCGACCTCATCGTCGCGTCACCACACTTATTCCACTCTGCACAACTTGGCTGCGACCACGTCTTCCTAGGAGATTTGCAGTATATTGCTCGAGCGTCTCGATTCATTGGTTGGGCACTTGCGAACTTCGTCACTTAGCTTGAACCCCGAGCTTT